ATTGCGGACCCGTCTTCACTGTAACCATATATATATCCCACTTGTACATAGGTTACACTCCAGTAATAAAATCAACTAGAGTTACCCCCCCTTCAGTTCTGATTGCCAGTCAGTAAGTTAGGGCACGGATGTGTCACTAGGCACAGCGCTCTTGGCAGAAGTCGCTGAGGCCAAAGCCCTCCGCTACGGAGACTCTCCCTCGTCTCAAATCTGGTCTCTGACAGCTGCTTCTTCTGTTCCCACCCCAGGTGCTATTATATACATGTGGTCAGGGTCACATGGAGGAAGCCATGCCATCTCTGCGCACAGCTGCACCTCCCCAGGTGTCTCCGTGGGAGATCCCAGAGGTAGCCGCTCGGTAGGCAGGAGTGTGCGCAGCACATGCGGCGATCAGGGGAACAGGGTTAGGTATGTAGTGGTACATGGAGAAAAGGGAAATCGACCATAGAATAGAAATAGAGAGAAAGGGGAAAAGTGAGGAAGGAGGGACAGGGGGTGATAGCGGGGGAAGCAGAGTAGGGCAGTACGGTGCAGGGCACGGTGCGGGGTCAGGCAGATGTGCCCTGACATTACCGCTTACCTGTCATGACCCGACATATCCGTCACTTCTGTCAACGCGTCCTAGTGCCACTTGGCCCATCCTGCCCACTATCATCATCATCTGTCCATCCATCCATCCACCCATCACCCTCATCTGCACTTCCTCCCCATGCATGTACCTTCCATCCTAGGTTTCCCGCTTCATTGTTGTCTGCCCCCCAGCCAGACAGCTTGCTAGATGGCCAGATGGCCTTTCTCTTTTGTCCGCTTGCAGACTATTGTTCCTCCTTTGTCACTCATTGTTCTTGCTTGCCTTTTGTTGACCAAGTTTTCCGATATTAACTATTTGTCTCTTTCTTCATTCATTAATATCATGCTTGATCTGCCACTCCTTCTGGGCCGGTCCTATTTAGTTACTTGTGTTTATAACGCATGTAGGTTACACCGGATGTACCTCAGTTCGTATATCGACTTGGATTCCCCCTCTAGACTCTTCTCCTCATCATAAGGCTTCTGTCTGAAATTGGGACACCAATGTAAGAACGAAGCGCAGCACTCCACCCAAGTCACTGAAGCTAAAGTCCTGCCCCTCTGACCTTATGAGCCTGGACAACTTCGCGTGCCTTGCAGGTCACCCGGATACGCATCTGACACATTCCTGACATTACCCACATGACTATATGTATCTTTAATTACATATGGCTCGGGGTTCAGGGCTATTGCCCTGACACTTTCCCTCTTTACTGGGGAAACCACAATGGAATGTGAAGCCCCTCCAAGAAGATCTTGGAGGGTATGGATGGTTGGCTGTGGGGTCGAGACTTCTTGTCTCAATGCCCTGAGAGGAATTTGTTGGGCATCCACCTGACTGGGCCAATCTTGGCCTAATCTTCCAAAGGCCCCACTTTGTGGGCCCTGCACAGTAAATCAACTGTAGGAACCTAGCCTACATCTGGTCTCCTGGGCATGATCATCCGGACCTTCAGGTCTGTGCATGTAGATGGCATCGCCGTCCATCCATGTCCCATACTCCATGGACGTCTCACTAAGTGCATGGGGAGCAAAGATAGTTCTTTGCTTTTTCTTTATTTCACCCCATGCATTCATGACGAGGGCAGGCCCGGAACCATGATGCAGGTTCCGGGTCAATCACAGATCGCGATTAGTCTCCCCTTCGTCCATCGAATTTTCCAAAATGACAGGCGCTTCAGGTGCAGGAGGTGACTGAGGAAGTGGCTGTGTCCTCCTGAGGACAGGCAGGCCCTGAGGGCCCCAATCGACACTCTTTCCCTTCAGATAAGAAGGGATTCTCTTTGGCAATGGGGTCAAAGGACTCCCAGGCACGGGTTCATCAGCATGAGGGACGTATGTCGTCATCCTCACACTGGGATGCCTGGGCACAGGGAGGTAGGTGGTCATCCTGACATGTCTTTGTCAGCAGAGACTTCATCTGCCAGCGAGTTTCATCGCTGGATGGGTTCTCTGTCCCATCCCCTGACCGGTACAGGTGGAGGCACACTTGTCGCCTCAAACTGGGGTGAGTTTAGAGGAATTTGGCTTCCAGCCAATCCAGGGCTGGGGCAATAAATCCAAGCCCATAAGTCCTCTATAGCCTTGTCATGGCGAGTCAGCCATTGATCGATGCTTCTTAGCATCATCATCAATTCATCATGCTGATCATTCGACAATCCAGGAGTTTTCGCTCATGGTTTGGTACCACCCACGTTGACAACCTCAACTGGGTTGTCAGGGCCATCACCAAGCCCTAGCACTTCACCTGATCTGAGAGGATCAGGGGAATGTCAGGGCACACACCCTGACTAGCCCAGACCCGGACCCGCGTCCGGACCTGCTTCCACCTGCTGCACTTCCTGCATGCACCGCATGCTCCGGGCCTGGTTCCTACCCCTTCATGTGACTTCCAGGTATCCCCGGAAGTTTTGCTGATATTGGGGCCACTGTGGGAAGATGAGAAGTTAGCTTCCTTCTCAGCTTCTTACCTTGTTTTATCTCATCTTCTTACCCACAGTAGGTTGTGCCCTGGATAGGGCTGGTTACACCTCAGGGCTGTGGACCATAAGGGAGGGTCATGGGGACCCAGGAGTCGTCCCCTGACAGGGAGCCAGACACGTCAACAAACGGATCAGGTCCAACTGGCACATCGGGTGGGTCTTCCTCAGGGGGAGGAGGTATGACCACAGCAGGTACAACCATGGTTGTGGATTGGGAAGGACCCGGTGCATCCAGGTCTCCTGGTGGACCTGGAGATGTGTCAGGGTCATCTGTCTCTTGGAGGGATATCAGGTGTGTTAATGCTGGGAACCCCAGTGCTATCTGAAGTCTGTGTGTTGTTATGCGCAGCTGCCCTTGTCCTCTTTGCAGAGGGCGAACCTGAAGCTTTCTTTACCATGGTGGTAATGAAAAGTCAGGAACTTCAATTAGATCGGCACGCTTCACAACATTGATCAAAGAAGAAGTTGAAAGTTAAATTTATTTGCTCACCAAGCATAAAAAAGTGTAAGTGTAGTTAAGGTTGAGTTCGCAAGTGGTCTCGCAATAGTCAGAGGTTGCCTTACACTCCCAGTCCATTGAAGTACGCTGTATGAAGCTGTATTTATCAATGGGGGGTAAAAGGCAGGGAAAGCCTTTACCCCCCTTGCATGTAGGTTAAATACATTATTGTAGATACATGTGATAGTTGCAGCTTGGGACCACATGGTAGAAATGAAGGGTTCGGGAATAGAAGTGTCGCATTGGGTACAAACCCGACATGATAAATAAAGAATGAATAGGGTAGGCTGTGAGTATGCAGCCTATATCCCTTACACCCAGCCCAGGCACCTTGGGCGACTCCCTGCTGTGCCCAGCATGCATGCTCACACCGGATGCCCTTGGGGTCTCCCACAGAGACACCCGGGTGGTTACGGCTGTGTGCGAGGGTGATGTGGCACCTGTCATGTGACCCAAGCCGCATGTATATAAATGAACCTGAAGTGGGACCAAAGAAGTAGCCTTCTTCTCAACTTTCCACTAAAGTAATATGAGATTGCTAGCAAAGCAGGGCAACTCAGTCTCAAGCAAATAATGCGAAAGAGAACTAAAATATATTACCTAGCAAAGCGGGGCAACTAGAGGTAATATACAGTATATAAGTATGGATTGAAATGAAGGAATGATGTTACTAGCCTCAGTCTCAAGCGAAAGAGAACTGAGGGAAAAAGTGATTCAATGAGCGGTAATTCCCATGTAGTTTAGGAGCGGGATAGTCCCAAATGAATACAAAAGAATGAATAAATAGATGTGGCTGGCTGGGCGAGTTCCTCGCTTGGCCGTGGGAATGTGGCTGTACGAAAACTCGCACGGCCGCGCTAGCGCGCTGTTTTCCAACATCCACTTCAGTCTAAGTGGCCAGGGATCATTGTCCCGCATCGGGCCTGTCAGTATGCATGCCCAATCCACCCCCTGCCAGGCCCTCAGCGCCGGACGCTACACCCGGGCTCCCTCAACCCCAGACAAGTCCCTGACAACTGATCAACAATGAGGACCACCACCCCTGCCCAACCAACTCACAGGGCAGACAAAGCAGAACAAGATTGCAAGGGAGAGATGGAACTGTTTCTCATTTTCCATTTCCTATTTTTTATCACCACAACAATACCTATGGACACCACAGAACCCAAGGATCATTGACACCCAAATACACCAACCAGAATATCACCATGTAGAGATATTCCCCCCATGTATGCTCCGGTGTCAGGACGGGATAGCCGCACTGCCACATCATCATGAGGCCGCAGGGTATTAAGGATTTATCATCATCATCAAACAGGATGTTATCCAAAAATCTCATTATGGCTACAACAGCAATCAAAGGATATGGTCAGGGGTGGCAGGAATGGCTGAAAGGCCGAAGAGGTGGCCTGCATGGTGGTCCTCCCAGCCCCCAAAATCGGAACCCCGCACCAGCTACTTCCCAGATGTTGACTCTTGTTCTGCGAGAAGCATCTGTAGTGTCAAGAATGCGGCATCGTCGTGGGCACGCTGCCGGTGTTTATGGGTGGACGTCGCACACAAAGTGGCATTCACTAGAAGAGCTAAGATGAGTAGTTTAAACTGACACAATGAACAGGAGCCCACCATAAACCTCCACTTCCCATCCGGCAACCGTTCGCTCCTCTACCTAGGTGCATATCTTGCATCAGGCATTGACTGGGATTGTATTAGTGAAGGATATGTCTTACCTGGCGTAACTGAATGTTATGCTCCTTAGCATACAGCTCTAACCTCGCTATGTTGTCTCCTATGATTGGAAGAGGAACCAGACAGGTAAGCTACAACTCGGCCAAAGGAAATGCTTACGTTGCTCCACTCCTCCACTGCGGAGCACGGGGTCCACATCAACGAAGGCACCTAAACCCATCGATTGCTCAGACCTGACGAGCTGCTGCGCATCAAGCATCCGAGGCTTTAGGGTTGGGTCGTTCTTCTCCCCTGAGGCGGAGAATCCGCTGCGGTAAATACGGCCCTCTTGGCGACCTGCACATGCCCCAGTGTAAGCAAAAACAGAGATCTGCAGGTCAACACCATACCTCCGGTGAAGATCTCAGACGCATCGGCTTTAGTTTCTTCTGCTAAGCATGATCTGAGGAAAGTTAATGGCAATTATCCAGTCATCTGACGACTCACTCAAGAGTATCGCGTACCCTATTGATGCTTATTCGGCTGTATGGAGGATATGTAAAGCATCCAGCGATAGAGTTTTCGAATTCATCAAGACCCTCCCACTCATAGGGCCGCGTGGAATTGGCGGCAGCGACAGGGATCTGATTGTCAGTAAGGTTGGAGTAGGGAGGTTCGCCAATGAGAATCTGCGGGAAGGGGTGAACGTCTTCTCCTGGCAACAAAAATGGGATCAAAATTACTAGTACACTGACACAACCAAAAGCCCAGACATCGTTTCCTCGATCCGGAACCTTTGTGAGACCATTGTACAATTCTGGGGATCCAAAACGGGGACTGGGGGGATGATAATCGGAAGGAAGTAATTTATCCAAACGATCATACGAGAATTGGAAACCACGTAAGCAGGCATTGCCTCCATCCCCTATCACGACGTTTCCCTGAACAGAACAGTGCCAAAATTAACCATCGAATGGTGCTCTCCAATGACTAGCATAGTTGACGTACGGGTTCGATGTTTGCATGGACGATTTCTCTCGAATGGAGATAGCAGAGACCCAGCGCAATATCATACACCTGCACAACAAGGCATTGGTCACTTGTTTTCTCCTCGTTCGTGCTTAGATGTCTCACCATCTTTCGTCTATTGGAAACTGGGTGCTGGCGCAGGTATACCATCACATCGCGGTGAGGATGCCAAGCGGAAATTAGGCCCAGACTGATTACTTCAGATTCCGGAGATAGCATCCATCCACGGAGCCTCTCTATGTTGGGGTGCATTAATTGACGCCATACTCGGATTTGCCTCTTTAAGACCTTTTGAACACCACCTTCGTCAGGTTCAAGGATGGCTCGGAAGGAATAATGGCGAGCATACACGTATGGATTCAGCGAGCACACGCGAATCTGAGACATTGAAGTAATCTGATTGTTGGATGCAGACTGGCCTCTGTTGAAATGGCGTTGACCATCACCAAGGACCGCACTCGGCTATTCCAGGAAGCGGGTACATACGCCCTTATGGGTTCCCTTATAGGGAAACGGAGGATGCCCTTCATGTGTATGCAGTTTTTCGGATTGGATTTTTCCAGTGAGGTTCCGGTCGTCCTCTTGCATGATTTCATGTTCTATGCTTAACCGAATGGGGAGAGTATGTTTCCCAGCCATTACAAGCCTTCTGAGCATGAGTTTTTCTCTTGGGGAACGACAATTCACGCACCTCAGCCGATCTGCTATTCTGCTGACAGTGGGTCGTCTACTAGGTTCATAATCTAGACAGTCCGTTAGCACGCGTTGAAAATCATCAAGATCTTCCCATCCATATGGGGAAGTATGCATCACGGCTGCGATAGGGATTTGGAGGTCGTTCTGCACGGTTATGTAAGGTGGTCGCTCCTGAAGCACCTGGAGAAGATTAGACATTGAGGCGTATGGCGATGGCGAAAGAGAAATACTTCTAGCGATGTGCATGCAAAGGACCAAACATCGCCACTCATATCACACTCAACTCCAGCCCTTATCAGCAACTCGGGTGGGGCGTATCGTACAAGCCTCAGAACACCGTACTCCACTCCAGAATAAACGGGATTTTCCCTAAGCGAGTAGCAGAGCTCAAAGCCACCAATCTTTGCGATAGGAATGTCATAAGTACAATCAACGAATATTTTCCTCTAGAAAACAAAGAGAAAATAAACAGACGTTCAGGCGATGACGGGGAATGTCATATAGCGCACAGGACTGAGATTTCCATGAACAACACCCTTGGAGTGAAGATGCCCCACACCTTGAGAGATTCCGATAACCTGTATTCGACGCAATCAGAACGTGTGTCTCACTTCTCTTCGATTAAAAAGCATACCAAGCCTTGCCGATCCACACCTCTGTGCTCTCGAAGAAAGGCCATGATTTCACCTCCTTCGCATCTCGTCAAGACAGCAGCCGCGTGAACCAGAACTTCATCACCCAACAACATCCATCCCCGGAACTCTACAACGTTCTCGTGCTTTGTGGCTGCCAAAATGCGTACTTGATGTCCGATACGCTATTTAAGGCACCGACTCAGGTACTCCATCAATAGGATTCGAAGGGGCACATCAGACCTCGGTAAAGTGTTTCACCTCGCTCTGTTTCGAAACGTTAACTTCACAAAGGACCTCGATTCCCACTCTACTCTGCCGATCACGACCGTGGGACACTCCATCAGTGGGGGGCCAAGCAAGATATCACAAAAGCTGACTTGGCCTTGCACACCAGGCACCATGGCACCAACCACCACTTGTCCGTGATCCAGCTTGATTTCCTGAGAATCAATAGGCGGGGGGTCAGCCTCCGATACGAGGGTTTGTAAGTTTGGATGTGAGGACATGTCGTTTGGAGGCAACGTGTTTGTGATTGCAGGACGGTGGTGACAGGGAGCGATGGATGGACGGGTGGTCCAGGCAAAAGTGGAGAGCAATACAATTTTGGCGTGCAAAGGAAGATGTGTCAGAGATTCACGAATTGGGGCATATTACATTACGAACACCATATCATAAGGAATGGTGGTGTATTGGCTCAAATAGTGATATTTGAGTCTGAGGATAATTTCAAATCAGTCCGAACAAACATGATTCAAGTAGCCGTATCCAGAAGCGCTCATGCTTACAATGCACCCAAGAGTGCCTCGCTGGTTGTAGGCTTCAAGGAGTACTATGCGTTTATTCGTGTATTTCCCTGCCGCCACTGGCTCCTCGGTTTGTCAAACAGCGGGGTTTGAGTGTTGGAGTAGCGGTGCATGTGACCATTTCATCTCGAGATGGCTTCAGGCCTGACCATTCTTGTTATGGATCAATATTCTACTTCTGCACCACGTTTAGGCCCCGTATCGTGACTTCCGTGGAACTTGAACTTGTTCCACCTACACTTCATTACATTCTATACATCCAAACTAGTACACATGAGCGGCGGATGCGTGACCATCGTTATGAGTCTCACACCACAATCATTGCTAGTTCCCTCCGCCAGCTGTTGAACAGGTCGGAGGGCGGACGTCTTTCCCCCAGCGTCTCCAGCGACTGTCAAGTGAGCAGACATGCCGTGGGATACTATACCTGAATCTGTGCTCCGCGATGTTAGGGAAAAACTGAGCAAAATTGATTCTCGCATCCTCGACGGCCAGGTGAAAATAGAAGATCGCTACTGTATTGCCAGTGGAGCTTACGGAGTCGTCTATAAGGGGCTCTATAACAAGGTTCGCAAATCGAGCCTCACGATGTTTCAGTTCCTCTCAAGCTTATCTATATTTCGCCCCACCTCCTCGTTAGAGCATCGTATGCATCAAGATTTTCAAGTCTCGGTACATTGATATCGTCTCCAATGCCGATAGCAACATGATCTCGGTAGGTGGATGCATCATAAGTTTGGCAAATGATTCATTGCACTCCAAGCGGTTAATTCATGAAGTCAAAGTTTGGAGGTTGTTAAAGCACAAACATGTTGTCGAATTTTACGGATGGTTGCTCGATCTGAGAAGTCCGGAACCACCATCCCCAAGTCTTGTATCGAAATGGTGTGAACATGGAGACGTACGAATGTTTCTTCGTTGCCGGCCTGATGCTGACCGCCAAGCGTTGGTGAGCGTGCTCCCGATCGCCTTACCCCGAAGGGTCATTGATCGGGCCGAATAGATCTGTGGCATCGCCCAGGGCATTGCATACCTTCACTCCGAGAAAATTGTCCATGGCGATATCAAACCAGTGAGTAACCACCGGGTAGTCCTGCGTCGATCAAATCTCAATCTAATTTCCCCTCAGGACAACGTCGTAGTTGACAAATGCGAAGTCCCAAAATTATGCGATTTTGGAGCATCTTGCTTCCTTTCGGAAAGTTGCTTCGTTTTGGAGCTGATAAGTGTGAAGACGTTGTATTACGCGGCCCCAGAACTATCTATTTACCAGGACAATGCCCATCGAGGAATGGAGAGCGACGTTTGGTCTTTCGGCTGCACAGCTATGGAGGTACCGACCTGATTGATTTTCGGTGACCAGCGTCCACTGAATTCCTAGCCAAGATTCTCCGGAAACAGATGCCGTATTGCTCCACACCTGGTGAAGCGATATTCACAGCCATTGGGAAAAAGCGTCCACCGTTCGAATTGAAGCCTTCAGAATTATCCGCCGTTGAGAAAGTGGTAATTAGATGCCTTGAGTACGAGAAGGATGACCGTCCTGCCATCACGACTCTGATCAATGATCTTATGTGAGTGCGTGCACATCCCTCACCAGACACGCGCCCATAGTCTCTGCAAGAAACCCCCGGGAGGAAGGACCTATACCGTTTTCGGAGGTGCTTAAACTGGAAACACAAAACCGTAAAGGGAGGTGGGCAAGTCGCGGTCAATTTCATGCACAACTTTCTGGCACAGTGTGCGAGCGGCCTCACTGCTCGATACAATGCGGAACCTACAACGTATGGGTATATTTACATGCTTCATGCGCTTGTTCTGGGGAGACTTATCTCGCACGGCAAATGGAAAATTCCTTAGGATACAAAGAAAGTACGAATCAAGATCTTGCGAAGGGTCACCCCCATATCGAACGAGCAGATGCTCCGAAATTTCATCTGGGTAAAGTTTCTGGTTTCTGCACACATGATACGATTTAATGGTTCCAAAGGAGTTCTTGACTCAAGGGGAGAGGTGGCCATGGGCTGACGACTCGAGTCCGGTCGCCAAAATGCAGGGATGGGAGCTGGGCATCGACGATCGCAGCTATCTCGATATTACTTTAATTTCTGATTGGTATCCGAATGGGGATGTCAAAACTTATCTAGCGGACTGTCCAAATGCGGATGCCAACATCTTGGTGCGTTCTGGGGCCGATAATGTTCAAAAGATTCTAATGCAATGCGTCTAGGTTCGCGACATTTGCTTTGGCTTGAAATATCTCCATGATAGGGGAATAAAGCACGGGAACATCAAACCGGTACGCCCGCATGTTATGTTTATTGTGTTTGCTCCCTAAACGAGTGATGGCTTCGCAACAAGACGAACATTTTGATCGATGGTGGTGGTCGAGCAGCGCTATGTGACTACGGATTATCGGAGCTTTTTCGGGACCTGCCAACCAAGTTCCAAAGTGTACGGTACACGGCGCCCGAACACCTGATTTGTGACAAAGACGTGTTTCCATGCAGCTACGAGGGTGACATTTGGGCTTTTGGTTGTGTTTCGACCGAAGTGAGTACTGTTGGTTCCTCACAAGATCGACATTGTATCTGAGGCCCCTGGTTCGTGAGATCTACATCGGCCAGCAACCGTACTGCACAATCGAAGATGAAACTGAGATTCTCAAAGATAAACCCCCAGCATACACGGCTGATATTGTCCAACGCATCGGTAATACCGAGATTTGCGACTGTTTAAATGCTCGCCCAGAGGAACGGCCAAGCCTGGACGATGTTCTAGACTCCCTCGATTGATTCTGGTGCTCATGTTGATGGTCGCATCTGTTCCGCAACCTACATACGAGAACCGCCGTACTGTAGACGAACACGCCTTCGTGATCCTTGCTGGTGGCACATCGAAGCGTTAATAAGACGAAGCCATGTGTTGAAGTCTAACCTGTTTTCTGTTGCATGTACTGGCGCTTCTTGGAGATCTGGGTGCTGACCGGTCGTATTACTGGATCCAGATACCTGTCTTGTCCCTTCTCTGCTGTTCTTCAATGGTATCGAAACTGCTTTGGCATATGTTCCAATCCTATGTACGAGAGACGGTCATGCAATATCGCAATTTCAACGTTTGTTTATGGGGCCGAAGGGTATTGATGCATGTTTGACGTCGAACCATCGACGCTGTAACTACTCACGAGTACTGTGGCGGGCCAGTATTACCTTTCTGGGTATCTTGACTACCATGCTTATACGTCATTCAGAGTGTTTCGCTTATAAATATTATTTACGTCTTTCCTCACATACAACGTGGAACTGAGCCGGTGAAATACACTCCTTGTCAAATGTCTCCGTGCATGCCACTCGCATCCAAACTTAGCTGCCGCCCTGTAATAGATCCTCTAACGTCCCCCTTCTTTGACGACCCTCACAACCCCGTCGGATAAAGCCACCAGGCAGCTTGGGACGCCGAACGGGATTGTCCGCGCGACTCACAAAAGAGCGGGGTGAGCGCAGACAGGACTCCAGCCTTTACTAAAGTAGAGGGCGAACGGAAAGAAATGATGCCAAGGAGCATGGAACCTACCTCGAACCTCGCTCTTTGAGCTTTCTTTCGGAGGTTGATGCGTCTGTGCGGCACTCATACTACTTCACAGGCTTTGTCTGATTTGTCTGATCTGGACTTGCTCTAACACGATACCCACCCAGCCGCACACGCATCGGCCTACAATTCACGACGCACGAAAGTGACGTATTGGGGAAAGACACGATCAATCATATGAACGGAAAGTGTGCTGAGTAACCAAATGCGTAATCAGCGTGTCCGAATTGCGCTGTATTCGTGAAACTCCCTCCTTTTTATCTCCCAGAGGATGTTCGGTATGGATGTTGGGTTCGGATTCGTTCCTTATGACGAGACGATCCACGAATCGGAGGGATCATAGTTCTGAGAAAATGCCTTTCCTGGCACGGCCACTTTCCTCACTGATGCCATCAGCCATAATGACCGTTTCGTGGCAAAACCTAACTTGTACCGCGACGACAGGCAAGATCAACTATTGAGCTGATCGGTTTCAGTGTAATGAACACGGGTTTCCACTCACAAATCCCAAGTAGAAATAACAGTGTGCCAAAATTCACGCTAAAATACTTTGAGGGCTGGCAGCCGCTCGCGAGCTGGTTATCACTAATTTGCATGTCGAATCGAGCACTCAGGGAAATTATTTCTAGAAAAAAAAAGCTTGTGCCTCTGAGCTGTATACATGGACCTACAAAGACGCATGGCACACTCAGTTTTACGGTCCCGGAGAGGACATGGAGACCTTCTCCGCCACCCAGCTTGCCGGATAAATTACGTTCTACTTCTAACGACAATCCAGCATTGCATTCTTCCAGAAGCTCGTTAAAATTGCTAACACCCGACTCATCTCCAAGTCTTGAACTGCAGCTCTCTGTACAATTACGAAAGGACATTGCTCAACCAAATAATGAACGGGGAAAAGAAAGAGACCAGAAATGCGCATTACCGGATCAAACTACCTGACTGATATCAACAACGATTGGGGCCTTCAATCTTCCCTGAACCAGAAATCGAGTCCCATCCTTGCTAGCCCGGGGAAGGTAAAACAAATCAAGATTATCTTCCCCCAGGACTCGATCACCATACCAGGGCTCTCTTCCAACGGCGATCGGGGATTCCTTCGAGCTCTGTGCTAAAATTGAACTTGTATCCCTCCGGTAAGGAACATTATCAACTACCAGTTCATCCGTTTCTTCGACACTTGTGATGTGATGTGAGGTTTGTGCAATCGGAGAGTACTCCAATGGGAGGACGAGTTCTGATCTCCCGTTAAACCAGATGGCTGGCAGAGCAGACGAATAAACATCATTGCAGGTACTTCCGTCCCCCATGGCAGGCGAGAGGTCGTAAAAAGGGCACTTCAGCCAGGATTCATCCGAGACGGAAGGTTGAAGGAAGATAGGGTTAGGGGTTGAATATAAGCAATATGGGACAATGCCAATATTGATGATCCACTTGTCGAAGTCATCTATATCAAATTGGGCGAACAACTCGCATGTATCCGTTGACCATACAAAAGCGCCAGTCTTGTCGTAAACGCCGACGTAACGACCTCCAGGAGAAAATCCAAGGGTATGGGAAAAGGGTTTGAGAAACTGAGTGGTGAAAGTGGAAGGAGACGCGAGAAGCTGGATGAATGAGTTGCCCGAAACACACAAGAGTGCCGTGGTCTCGTACCAATGCCTTTCGGAATTTCTCGGGACTCGAGCGATGAAAGATCCATCGCCGGATACCCTGGTTACAGGAGGGTGGGTTGTACTGGGGACAGAGCCAAGCCTCACCACAGGCATTTCATGGCTGAAAATGGTAACGTTTCCTTGAGTATCTTCGGTGGCAATATACAGTCATTCACGTGCCAATGGTTTTCACCCCTCAATGGTTAATATGCCCGTAGCATCCTTATTTCATAGTCATATTTCTTCATTTTTTTCAAGCTTGTATGCAATGACTACAGCTACAACTATGCAAAAATTTGAGCTGATCGGACATGTAATGAAGGAGTTATAGTAGTTATTAGTGTGGAAAATGGTAAATATGAGGGTTGCGCATCCTGTACATTCCAGAAGTAGGGAAATGACAATAAAGTATGACCTGGGGGTTGGGGTGTTACTCAGGAGCAGAAGGCCATCAGCACATGTGCCAATGTTTGTTTGTTTTGGTGAACAAGCAGTTGCCGGACCTGGGTTTACATCCGTGCTTCCCTTATTCACACATCCATTTCCTGTTCTGCATTTGCGATTTCCTTAATGGCTCGACATGCAGACTCCCTGAGAATGAGAAAGCAAAAGGCATCTCAAGCAGTAGAGGAGCACATGCTGCAAACTCTTGCTTCATATCGTGCTGAATTAGCGCGCGCTCAGCAGGAAGGCCGGCAGGCTGTTAGTGCACGAGAATATGCATTGGAATGCAGGGTCCCATATACTACATTTCGACGGAGACTCAAGGGAGGACAGGGTCGCAATGCAGCTGCTACTTTCTTCGACATTTAAACTCCCAGAGCGGGTATATGGTGATGGCAGAAGCCTCCAAAACATCCAATGGGGCCTTGCTGAGGACACGGAATATGAGAAGAAAACTCATGAAGAGCTGATTGCTGAATTGTGTGAGACACAAGCTGCATTTCGAAATGCAAGGGATTATGTGACAAGCGCTGTTGATGCCATAGATGCAACAAATGCACAGTTAGCACTTTCTGGGATGTACGTATCAAAGGCTCGGACTCAGCTTCTTTCCCATGAGGAGGGAGAGAAAAACAAGGAGGAAGGTGGTCGGATCAAAGGTGTGTTTGGGCGCGTGGTGACACATGAGGGATTTATTCAGCAGCAGAGTGATCGAGCCAAGAAGAGGGAAATGGAGGACGCGGTGGAGAAGGCAAAGAATGAGGCACAGAAGGGCTGGGAGGAATTTCAGAGACACCAGAAAGTCGGTGAGGCAGCATGGAAAGTGCAGAAGGAACAGCTGCAAGCGCTGAAACAGAAGGTGCCAAAAAAGCGAAAAGCGGTCACAAAAAAAGACTGGATGGCAGAAAATTATCCTCAGTTGGTAATTTCGCCGTCGGATACAGTGAAAGAGTGTGGAAAAGGAGTGGAGGAACCCATCTGCGACGCCGATGAGCAGTGAACGGGGATCGATCTGGCGTGGGAAATTCAAGGTCACACTATGTCACACTGAACCATTAAGCCGTGAAAGGCCCATTTGCTCACCTGCATTTATTCTCCTTCATTTCTCATTCTTTTCATCCAATTTTGGACAGTAGGTACATTATAAGTCTGGCTACTATTGGGATTTTTTTTTATTTTTTGGAGGGCAGATCTCAAATTATAGTGTCGAAATTACAAAAGGTGTGCCATTGGCACGTGAATGACTGTAGGCATTACCGCTGAGGATAAATTCAATCCAAACGGGAGGATAGCAAGAATCGCTGTGGAATCGACAGATTGTGGCTTGATTGTCAATGTCAGTTACTTTGATAATGCCACTTCCAAATCCGAGCGCTACGAGATGGCCATGTCTTGAGAGCGCTGCACAGGCCACAATACCATTGCGAACGTTGTCGTCGAGGAATTCGGCTGTGTAATCAATCCCTTCTTTTTGCCGCTTATCGACCAACCCTGGCAATTTAGTCAGCTCCGCCTCCATCACCCTTCGAGCCCTGTGTGCATCATCGCTTAAAGGGATTACAGCGAAGTGCAAAAAAATCTGCCGACGACCGCGACGTCGTTAAACTAGGGAGAGAAAAACAACTAAGAACAACAAATACAACTCGGAAAACAAAATATGAATGACTAAGGGGAACCACTAGAAAACCGGATGTGACGCTGGCAAAGACCCCTTGACCTCGACAGGGCAACCAAAATACGCCCCAGTACACTGTCAGGTCCCCATCCGGAAGGGGCTAGGAGTTGGGTGCACCCAGTCGGAACGCTAACCACTATGCAGTTCCCCGGTGCCTGGGTAATCCCGCAAGGATTAGGTTGGCGGTGCCACGAAGTACAAATACACCAGTACCTCTCGTCCCACAGAAAAATCATACTAGCGGTAGAACGCCACAATGGTGTGTCTCCCCGCAAACTCCTACTAAATAAAGCCATAACATACACAAAACTTCTCTCAACAGTGGTTCCCCAAGTCACAAACATGCAAAGTAAACGTAACAACCTTAACGACCATCAACGCTCGCTGTCTCCCCTCAGCTCCATTGGGGCGGATGACACCATGATAGATGACCTTATGGGGACGCACCAACAAAGCACTCCTAACAACACCGAAAAGGACTTAACCACACTCGCGTCTCCCACCACCACACTCCCATCTATCACCTCCATTCTGGAGGTGGCCAAACGCCACAGATCCCCAGACTCGGCCAACATCCAAGGTCCTGAACTCGCGCCCCCTCCCCCCGAGAGCGAAGGGAGGACAAATAACACCACAAACTGTGCGACAGTCCCTACCTCCACAAGCCCTGCAACTCCCCCCCAAACCCGCCACGTATCACCCGCCCCCCAGCCGTAGCAGATGCCCCTGACCCAGTAACTGCAGCTGCTCAGCGCCCACATGACGGCAACGAAATCTTCAACTACACCGACCTTGATGGCGAACTCGCTGACTTCCGCGCCCACGGTGCACGGCCAGCAAGAATCCTTGCAAACTTCAGTGAAGACCACCATGAACAGTGGAAGACCATTCCAAGAACTGTCTTAACATACCTGCTTGACGCCAAACACAGCACAGAGGGCGACAAAAAATTTAGAAATAACCTGGTGAAAGGTTATCTTACTAGTTTGGGGACGGTAATGTTCCGTTCCCCCGTTCGCCTCAGGCCTCAGTAATCCGTCTAAGTATACGCTTGATTTGGCTGTATATTGACAGGGTAGAAGTAAAGGCTAATCTGCCTTTTACAGCTACCCCGAGGGTTTATATACAATCTTATACATTCTCGGCACAAATAAATAGAGAAGCTTCCGCGACGCTAAATTAGCGTCGCGACATAATTATTACACAACACAACATCAACTGATGTTGTGGGCGGATTATAGACATGGGCCGGGGCCTCACATCCTCCTCCCTTGCGATACTAGATCGCAGACAGGGTACTAGCATATATACACAAGGGGAAAGCAAGCATTTTTAAAGAAATAAAATTTTTTTTTTAACGTTCTACATACGAAGAATGTATGCAAACGGGGGCACACTCATTGCAGGAGGCTATAATAGTATTTTGTAGGCGAAGCCCACTTAGAGTTTCTCCTGGAACATATGTACCCAGCTCTCGACAACAGCATTGTCGACGATGAAGTAGCAAGTGTCAATATGACAAGCTAGAGTAACGGTTGAGTCACCGTCAAAAATCAAAAAAGGAAAGGAAAAGAACCAACAACGGCATTGTTGTTGATGAGAAAAGGCAGTGACACCTGAATTGGTCCACTGCGGGATTGGGCACAAGTTTATAATGCCCACAAGTTTGCGGCATCATGGCTTCCACCCAGCAACCTGAAGGTTGATACTCCAGTGACGGAAGTAACTCACTGAAGGTCAATGCCCCGGTGATGGCCAGTGATTCCACACCTGAAGGTTGATACTCCGGTGACACAAATAACTCACCGAAGGTCAATACCCCGGTGATGGCCAGTGATTCCAAAGGTCACTGAGGCCGCTCCTCCCTAGAGTGTTGTCTGGGGAGTAAGATAATAATGAGTCAGCACGATGCTGACCCACAAAAATATCCACTAAAGAGCGGCACGGGTTTGTTTCTCCTCCCTAGACAGTTGTCTGGGGAGTAGTTGAAAATTCAACCTAGGAATCTAGGTTAAAAAAAATAAGACAAAATTTCCGCCACACTTGAATGTGGGCTGGAGTTCTGAGCAGTGATCTGCTCCTCCCTAGATAGTCATCTAGGGGAGTAGAGAGGTCATTCTGTCCATATGAGTGACAGAATGGAAGCGCGGCCCATGAACTGGGCAGGACTGAGCGTGTCTGATCATTCAGACACGGGTCTTTTGTTGGGGGCGGCTTGTCCATCGGTGGGACAGCTTGTTCACTATGAAGTGAACAATAGAGAGAAGCCCTTTCCTTAGAAAGGGCCAGCCTTCCAGATGGGAAGGCAATAAGGAAATGAGCGCGGTGCAGAGAGGCACCGCGCATTTTGATGACCTGGCACTCAACAGTGCCAGGAAAACACAGACCTTCCCTTGGAGGTGGGGTGTCTGTTGGCAAGACAGATCGTTCACTATGCAGTGAACGACAGAAGAGAACCCTTTTCCAGATGGAAAAGCAACAGAGAAATGAGCGCGGTACAAAGAAGCACCGCGCATTTTGGGGCCCGGCACCCAATAATGCCGGGAACACACAGACTTTCCCAGAGGTGGAGTGTCTGTGGGCAGAACAGATCGTTCACTATGCAGTGAACGATAGATGAGAACCCTTTCCTTAGAAAGGGTTGGTCTCCCTTCCGCGGAAGGGGTGGAGAATAATGAATCACCAAAATCGCGATGTGGAACAGCATCGCGCATCTTGGTGACCTGGCACTTAACAGCATCAGGAAAGCATCCCTCTTGGCCTGCAGAGGGCCAAGGAGGCGGTTCGGATTCGACTTCCTGCAGAGTGGAGGGAGTAGGTGCTGCTGGGTTGTCAAACCCAGGAATTTCCGAAGCGCTGGGCAGCTCTATGAGCTGGCACTTGGCAGCAGCTGAAGCGCTGCCGATTCCATCTATAACCATAATAGATGAGAACCCTTTCCTTAGAAAGGGTTGGTCTCCTTTCCATGGAAGGGGTAGGGAGTCATGAACCACCA